GCGACGGGACGAGGGGGGGGAGGGAGAGATGAGGGACGCGGGGGAGCAGATCGACGTGGACAACGACGTCGAGGAGGTTGCACGGGCGGGGTCGTCAGGGAGGGAGCGAAGGAAGGGCATTGTCAGCGAGCCGGGGGGGCAGTAGGGCTAGTACTTTGTGTCGGCGCACGTGTCGGCTCGTACACGGGCAGGTGCGGATACGGCTGAGGCGGGTGCGTCTGCGGGGAAGAGGAAGGAGAGAGAGTAGGGGGACAGACCGACGGCAGCAGCCGCATCACAGAAGAGGATGAGACAAAACACGATTACGGAGTCATTCACTTCAAAGTGGCAGATGGAGTTCAAGAAGAAGTGGCTGCGGTTTGTGTACAGTCAGCGCCTGGCATTCAACGTCTTCCGGAGCGAGCCATGGTTGGACGTCGTCCGACACTTCAGGGACTTGCCAGGGCTAGTGAAGGTGTTGTGGCCTTCAGAGAATGAGATCGCGGACATAGAGACCATTGTCCACACGGCGGACGATGTGGGAGTTGATCTCGCGGAGGTCAGGGCTCCTTTCTATGTCACGGGGGCCACCATCATGTCAGACGGAAGGAAGTCACGCGATGCTAGACCCATCATGAACTTCCTTGCCGGCGGGTCGCGTGGGGTGATGCTCGTCCGGACGATGAACAGGGAGGGTGAGCGGGATCGGGCGCCTGATGTGTTGGCGCGCTGGATAAAGGTGTTCGATGACTTCTCCCCTAAGTGGGTGAACGCCATCTGCACCGACTCCACCTCGGCGTACATCGCCGCGGTGAACATGCTCCAGGGGCCCCAGCAGAGGCTGGAGCATCGACGGATCACGTGGCTCCCATGCGCAGTGCATGTCTGCAACAAGATGTTGTCAGACATTGGCTGATCGGGCCCCTGGTCCAAGGACATCATCGTGAGGGGGAGAGCGGTGGTGCGCTTCATTAAGGAGCACGGCGCCGCTCTCCATATCTTCCAGGGGTAAAGCACTCAGATGGGCCTCATCTATCCTTGCGAGACACGTTTCGCATCCGTGTTCGCGATGGTGGAGCGTTTGCTGGCAGTGAGGTCAGTTTTGGAGAGGACGGTGGATGGCGATACTTGGGGTATGGTCCCTTGGGACCATTCCGTTCGTCAGTTGGCTCGGTGGGTCAGGTGGCAGGTGCGACATAGCAGTTGGTGGGATTCCATGGGCATCTTGTTTCGTATCATGGAGCCTGTGTACGACCTGCTGCGCAGGTTGGACCGCGGAGGGCTGCACATGTCGCGGGTGGTTGCGTGGACACAGGATCTGGCACGCCAGGTAGCAGAGGAGGTTTGTGCACTTCCGACAGATCTTGCACACTACATTGTGCAGAGGGTGTAGGCTCGATACGCTCACATGCTGGAGCCGGCGCACGCCGCTGCTCACCTTCTCTGTCCCAGCCGGCGGGACTTGCGGTACTTCGAGGGCGTGGTCAGCGGCTACGACGCGAGTTTGGTGAGGGAGGCGGAGACTTACATCGTGTCGCAGACAAGGTTCAGTGTGGCGAGCCGCGACTACGAGACCGCATGTGCACAATTGCGCGACTTCCACACACGGAGGGGGACGATTGCTTGGGGGGGGAGAGATGGAGATAGAGATGCACAAAGGTGCAGGGGCGATGCGGAGACGTACGAGTCCGGGTGTTGGTGGTCGCGGTACGGGCAGTGCGCCCCGCAGTTGCAGGTTATCGCTCTTCGTATCATGTACATGTGGACGTGCTCCTCTCCTGCGGAGAGGAATTGGGCCGTCCACGAGGGTGTACAAACGAAGAAGCATAACCGACTTGAGTTCGAGAAGGTCGTGAAGTTGGTTGAGATCTCAGCCAACGTCCGCCTTCTCTCTCATCAGCGGGCAGGCCGCGGGTTCGCGCTGCCGTGGACTCTAGATGAGTTGTTGTTGGACGTGGAGGGAGGTATTGGGATTCGCCCCTCGTGGAAGGGGACGGGCGAGAGCAGGACGCGGGAGGAGGTTGAGGATCAGAGACGTTCATGGCAGCGAGACCCATGTGGGTCCAGAGCTCCTCCGGGTGATGTGGGCGATGTTTTTGGGACTCGAGCAGCCACATTGCACCCRTACCCTCGAGACGACAGTGATTCCGAGGGTCACGAGRACGAGGAYGAGCCGRCGGGCCCCGCTAGCGCCACTCATGCGGCGGATGAGCGTGATGAGTGGAGCGACCCAGAGGACGTCCGCAGACGGAGTGGCGGAGATGACCTTTTCGTTGGAGTTGATTTGGAGGAGGAGTCTAGGGGTCGTCATGGGAGCCCTTTAGAGCGTCCGAGGCCTACGTCCACTTCCCCGCTTCCCGCTGAGCGGGACACAGATCCTGGGTCTGCACCTTCGAGGGGGGCTGAGTCGGGGATTGGCCATCGTCCTCTGGGTCGCTCTGGCACGGCATCATCAACCGCTCTTCCCACTTCGACGGAGCAGTTTCATCGACAGCCAGCCGGTGCAGATCGATTGCAGAGATTGGTGAGGGGCCCGGGACAGCGATTGGAGGATAGATTGGAGGGCGGTCCTATGCCGGTGCAGGGTGACGACGGAGACAGACAGGGGTTGATTGGTGGAGATGGTGGTGCGCTGGCCGGAGGAGGAGGCGGTGTCGAGGTTGATGCGGCGGTTGAGGGGATACCGATGGGTGGCGGAGGCGGTTTCAGTGAGTTTGGCGATATGGGTATGCCCCCGGGAGAGAGCGTGGGTCTTCCCCGTGGAGAGAGCGAGTCCCGTGGGGACATCAGTGTGGGTATGCAGGCCTTATTGGGACAGATCAGCTACCTGGACCCGAACAGTTTCTCCCCTGTCATGCGCGGAGAGGTGATGTCGGGGGCAGAGGGAGGCGAGGATCGCACACCTCCTGGAGAGATATCTGAGGAGAGGTTGGATAGGCTTGAGAGTCGTCGAGCATGCCTCATGGCACAGAGGGACCCCAAGACGCAGGAGCTCGCCCGTCTTGCAGCCGAGGACCGACATAGGCAACTGGGGACATATACGACGGCGTCTGTTGACGTGGGGCCAGCTGCCCACACAGATACTCCTACAGAGGTTCACGACACGACGCAGCGGGAGGCGGCTTCGGCAGAGGTTTCGAGTACGGGAGTAGATGTTCAACAGGGGACGCACGAGAGCGGGTTGGCACCGACAGAGGAGCCACGTTCGGAGCTGGCGCAGCCTCCTGCCGTGTAGCTGAGGCCAGAGGAGACATTGTAGGAGGTCACGGGCGTGCCTCTGCCCGCGGGTTCAGTTGAGGGTGCCGTGCATATGTCCCCGGGTCTGGAGGACATATAGACGGGGCAGTCAGTGGGCGTTGATGATATTCGCCCATCGGCGCAGGCGGAGGGGATAGCGCCGACCGCCGGGGGGGACGGGGCCGTAGCGGGGGCCGTTGGTGTTGGCGGGTCGGAGGTGCCGCCCGCGGCCGATCCGATGTCCACGTCTGGCGGGGGAGACCCCACACAGGTGGACAGGCGTGACGCGGATGGACAGGAGATGCCACAGACTTTGGTGGTTCGCACTGCTGTGGGGCCAATGGTGCCACATCAGGCACCGTTTTTGGAGGGTTATAGGCGTCATGCACATGGCGGTGGCCCGGTCGATGAGCGACGTGTAGGCAGGGGCGCGTGCATACCCCCAGTCCCTACTTTTGCACCGTCACGGACGAGGCCGGAGATTAGGCATGTGGCTACACCTCGAGGTAGCCTCCTTTTTGGTTTTATGACCGCTGAGGAGTTGGAGGACCACGGCAGGAGGGATTTGACGGAGATCGACCAGCGTGTTTTGAGGTCAGTCCCCGAGGAAGGGAAGCTTCCTCACGTGCAGGACTTATCTTGGGGGCCAGCCAGCCCCAGCTTACCTTCTGGGTGTTCTATCGCAGCGCCATCTGGCGGGGCTGCAGGGGGCTTACCTTCTGGAGGTTCCGTCGCAGCGACATCGGGCGGGGCCGCAGGGGACTTACCTTCTGGAGGTTCGGTCGCAGCCCCATCTGGAGGCGCCGCAAGCCCTTCGTCACCCTTGAGCGCAGCTCCGAGGGAGGGCGGCAGCCTCACCCCGAGGTCGGTTGCCCGTAGACGGAGAGACACTACCCAGCGTGCGGGGGAGTTGCTGGACAGTATGTTGTTCGGTCGCACAGATCGACCATAGAGTGAGACGAGGGCGAGTGTCGGTCGTCAGCCAGGTTTGAGAGGGGTTTCCATGACCGCGAGACGTCGAGATGTTGTAGCTGCAGGGTTTGGCGGTAGAGGGGGTGGCGACGGTGGCAGTGGTGGCGACGGTGACGACAGACGTGAGGGCGCAGGCGGTGCCACGACGAGCGCAGCGGATCCGCCGCGGACGTACGGTTTGAGAGAGGCGTCGATTATTTTGGAGGAGCCTGATGTTGTTACACGACAGAGGCAGGCCCGTCACGTGCCCTTAGATCGACGCCAGGAGGGGGAGACTTCAGGGACTGACGGTCTACCTATGGCACGCGAGTCACGCCGACATGATGACCTAGCAGCAGCAGCCATCAGGACGGTGAGAGGCAGGAGAGTCATTATGGACGACGATCCCGACAAGCTTCCCGTCACTCCGGAGCCTTCCGCTGGCGGACGCGGCGGCCAGCGTCAGAGAGATTGAGGAGGTGGCAGGGGTTGGTCCCACGGAGGAGTTTCTCATCGGTCCGAGCGAGATCCGCGTGCGCACGACGATCGTTGACGGATTACAGACTTGCATTTTCGTGACTTTTTCAGTGTACTTTAGTTTTTTGTTATCCATGACAGACGTAGTGTCTCGTGAGGTTGTATTATAGTCTACTTTCTAGTGGGTACTTTTCTGCGCAGACGTAGTGTTTCGTGATGTTGTATTATAGTGTACTTTCCAGTAGGCACTTTTCTCCAATTTGCTACTTCCGAGATTGTAGCTTTCCAGTGTATTTTAGTGTGCTTAATCGTC